TCCAACACTCGCTGAAATGCTGTTGTTATAAGACGAGAGTCAGCTGGGTGTCGAGCAGTTGGAAATTTTTCTCGGTAAATTCGTAATGCACGCGAAGAATTCCCGCGTGTTTCTCCAAGGTACATTATCATGTTGCCGTATTCAAGAGCACTATAAACGTACGCATTAGGTATTTTTAAAACAAAACAAGAAACCTTTAACGTAACAACAAAAGTAATAACAACAAGAATTTAATAAATAAAACAACTGAACTGTTGGTCATGCGCACGTCAGCACGGAACTGTCTCAAAACTAAAATTAATAATCTATTCCCGCCGAAACAAATGCCTACTGCGTAGTTCGTGTATCCTTTCGATATACACTGATCATTTCCACAGATCGTTAAACCGTTACGACATTCACAACTTTTTTATAACTTAAGTTATACCTACGACTAGTTTTCAAATAGAAGTTATAGTTGTCATTTTTAATACAATAGACAATCAATTGTACTTTGACGTAAGCAGTTCGTTACTACAAAAATGATATTGTGATTAGTAAACGTACCTAATTGGGTAACTCACTTCCACGATTATAAACACAATTTTATCGTTATATTTGATTTTGTACAAGAAAATAGAAATGAAATGGTACTGAATAATTTAATGGTTAAAATCAATTGCAATAATGATCGATAGTTAACTAATCTATCAGAATTAATTGTCCCTGTTATATCTGTCCTGTTTCTGTAACTGTTGCTGTAGAACTATCGCTACGCGCTTAGAATCGAATAGTACCAAAAAGATTTTTTTATCACCACCAGAAATCACTTTCCATATTTATTATAGAATAAGGGTGACAAGCAGTACTCAGTCCAGCTAACGATAAGTGGATTCTGTAGCCCATAGACATATCCTATCCTCGATTAAGAAAAATAATGAGGATGCGTTATTAGCTCTGAAGATTAAGACAGAGTGCCTGGTTTCAAGTAAAAAGGATCTCCGGTTCTCTATACTCGCCATACGAAACACAATAGAATTAAGCTGTTATTTCTCGTTGGTATTCTTTCAGAGTGTGGTGCTTCCCCGGTCAGGCCAACCCACTTATGCTACAATTATAAACTAGTTGTAGCATGGTACTTCATACTACAGATTCGATACTGGTATTAAAAATAATACCAGTATCGAATATAATATCGAACATAATAGAAATAGATGAGGTGCAACTGTAACGGAAATCTCCCATAAATCTGCGGTTTTCTTTAATCAAGCGTTTGGAAATATTTTACGATATATTATGTTAATACTTTTTCAAATCTAAATTCTTTTAAACACGTATTAACATTCTGGTTGAGTTATGAATCGGTGACAGTTGGAGAACTATTCAAAGACTTTATTGTAAAAATAGGAATATCAGTGAAATATTTCTCAAATACCGCTGCGACTTCTTGATTTGATCTAGTCAATTCATTATTAATTTGCAATTGATAATGATAGAGCAGGAGGCTCCAGATTACGGTCCACTGACACAAAAGAAAGACTTTTTTCACTCTTAAAAGGGTAATACAGGGCATCGCTTTTGACGTTTTCATCGTTTATATTGTCCTCCTTTTCCCTGTGAAAGATTCCTCAATTGAGCTGATGTCGTCTTCATCTAGTAATATACAGCGATATTGTGAGGTATTTATTCGTAACAAAATATTTGCAAAAATGAATCGATATCGTTACTAAAAATATAAAAATGTACACAACCCTAACCATTTGTCGAAACGACGAGTATTTTCTTATATCTAGAAAATTTGTGTGGTTACCTGCCGAACATGGCCGCTTCTGGGAAGTGTATGCTTAGCACAGTAGCACTAAATTGAAAAGATAGAACACGACGGTCACCGCAGGCGATAAATAAAAACATCGACTTTTTATCGTATATTCGAATTTTTTTTATCGTATAATCGAAAAATTCGTTCAAAAGAACTAAGGTGTCCAGAGATAAGACCCAAGTTCTAATCTGTTGTTTTTTAACTGTAACGATAAATACAACTCACTTCTTTTTATGTCCTTAAATGACCTCTAAATGTTTAAAGATAAGATTTAGACACCAACGTTTGTTGAAAATGTTAACTAAATGTATAAATACAGGCATAAAAACTTTTTATGCTTTAATTTAAAGCACCTTTCGTGTGGTAATAACATAGAGCAATACGGGCTACCGGCCGGACGGAGGGGAGTAGCCACGCGTTCCCCTCTGTCAAAGTCTACTCGGTCCTATGCGTACAATAATACTAGTTGCAGCAGCTCTGTTGACTAGACAAATTCTATTTGCGCGGCTGAATCGACAGCCTACAAAAATTCCGAATTGTTCTGGTTTTTTTTGCTTGAAAAGAGATGTGCCACTTAAAAATTACAAAAAGATAGAGATAAGAGAGAATATCTTTCTTAAATAAGAAAATTTAATCACATTATTGCTAATGGCCTGGAATGCGAAAGAAGGCGTCAATTTGTCTATAGGTTGCTCTGTGTACGACTAAATCTATTTTTGAAAGTGAGCCATCTTCAAGTGATGATCTTTCACACATGCGGCAGTTGATTTTTATTTATATAGATTTACCAGTTGCTTACCTGAAATAAAACCATCGACTATATCAACTAAACTTTACGTGCTTCGATGAAAATGTTTCAAAATCATGAAGTTAAGGCAGGATCTTAATAACGACGTGACGCTGTAATTATACTATCGTAGCAGTGCCCTACGCTCCGTGAAGCAAACCCAAGGACGATTAAACGGATACAGTTATTATTCCCTGTGAAGTCATACACTCAATGAATCTATCGACAACATTTTTTGTCTGTTTTGGAATACGGCAACTACTCTGTAAAAGAAAGAAAGTGAGAATAATATATCTATCTTATTTTTTACCATGTTAAACGTCATATATAAGTATTTGTATGCTCTACAAATGATTGTTCCGGGTTTGGATGTTTGTCCTTGTGCAATTTATGTTTGTAAACTGCCCACAAGATACAGGAGAAAATCCTACTGTAGGGGTAACGTTTAAAATATATATATGTAAATAAGAGTTCAGCTATAAGAATTTTGTTCTTATTGGTACGTACAGACGTGCTCAAAAAGAAGCATGCTCGTAAGCCTGCTTAAAATTGGAATGCTCTGCAAATGTTCACAGAAACAGAAACAGAAACTTTTTTATTCAATCTAGATTATAAACAATACTTATTGAAAGTCAATTTTTTCATTTACCAGTGGTTCGCAAAAAAAAAACGTCTGTCCTGGGAAGAACCAGCAAGAAACCCAGCGGGACTATTTTTTTTTTCAAATAATAGCTTACAATCATGTTTATAATTAACAACACAAGACAAATTAGAAATAGCTTGGTAGCGATCACCCTTCACATTTGCCAGCAATAAGCACGTAAGCATATACATAAATAAGCATGCTCAAAACAAACTATGGACAGACGTGCTATTTGGCACCAGGCTCTCGGCCAATATGGATGTACAAAGATATATTGACAGTGCTATTCGTACAGAACTCAATAAAAAATCATATTGCTTTTAGAATTGCGTAAGAATATTTTGGTGAAAAAGAAAAAAAAAAAAACAAAAGAAAGGAAAATTTTGCATTCGTAATTGGATAAACAGAAGAGAATCACTGGGAGCAAGTAATCGATTGTTGGCAGAGATGCAAAGCGAAGATCTCAACAGTCATTTGCGCACAAATTTGATGAGCTACTTTCTAAAATTGAGAGCGTCGTACAAGATTGAGAACAATGCGAGATGCTATTTCAGCTTAAGTAAAACTGAAAATTACATTGAGATATTTAGCTGTCGGAGATTCTTTATACATATTATCAGCATTTCACAGGGTTTGAAGGTGAAGGTAACTGTCACGGATTGATTCGATAATAGCATGCTCATAAACAAACCTGTTCAGACGCGCTCGGAGCACGCTCCCTTCTACCCGCGCCTCAGGTAGCATGCTCGAAAATCAAACGTCGATTAATTTTCGAGCACGCTCGAAATAAGCATGCTTATTACTAGCAATGAATACACACAAGTGCTACTAAAGAGCACTTGCTCAATAAAAGCCTGCTTTTGTGCTAGTAATGAGCACGTCTGTCCGTACCTAATTTTAGGAATCTCTTCAGTAATTGCTCTAAGTAAAATAATTATTTATTTTAAATAAGGTAAAGCTGCCAGTGTTAACTGTAACAATAAAATGTGTTCGTTCAGAATTTTTATCCTCCAATTTTAAAAATCATTGATTTTTTATGTGTTTTATAGAATGATCACAGAAAAATTTCTTAATCAATTTTATTTTCAAAATTCTAAAAAAAAAATTGATTGTGGAGTATTTCAAATCACCACCACCAATATCATCATTCTCAGAACTCATGTCAATTTTGCAAGTAGTTGATAGCAGATTCGTAATTTTCTTTATACTCTCTAAATTGGTTTCTTTATACTCTATAAAAAAGTGGAAATAACGTGAATATGAAATAGTAAAACTCATAATTAAACTTGATAGAAGTTAGTTTAAAGTTAAAATGACAAAATGTTGGTAAAAACCGTCTTCAAAAATTAGAAAAATATAATATTCATATCTGCCTCTGATGTCGGTGCGACATTGTAAATCAAGAAATTGCGAGTAAAGCCCCGACTACTGAAGCCATTATGTGTATTTTTTTAATTTTTGTAGTGAGATCTACTTTTTATTGAAGAAATATTTTTCCTTTTTGAGTAGTCTAACAAATATCACAAGTTCAATATAACAAACTAGAATGTCGTTTAAATATGTACATTAAAATTTTTATTCTCAATTTTAAATTTGACCACAGAAAATATACATATAATAAAAATGTAAATTGCAGATGTCTGTACATTATAAATAAATATCATTGAGACTGGTGGAAAATTAAAAAAGGAAATTGATGACATAATATGTCATCAGTTTTTGATATTTATTGATGTGATAGGAACAATAAGGATTTTCATAATAATAATAAAATGGCAGAAATATTAAAGGAATGGCTCTCGCAAACACTGAATCGGCCGATCACATGGGCAACCGAAGAATTTGGAAACATGATGAAAAATGGTCATATTATAGCAACAGTCTTACGATGTTACCACGTTATAAACGATGACAATCATTACCTTATAAGAACTAGTAACGAGGAGGACGATATTAAACATAATTGGAAATATTTAAGCGAATGGTTAAAAGATATAGAAGTGAACTTAAGTGAAGAAGATTTAAATAATATTATAAAGGGAAAAGGTTCATCTTTACTTCGCTTATTTTATCAACTTTTTCTCCATTTGGATAAATGTGACCGTACTAATTTTATTAAACGTGAGCAAAAAATGATGTCGAACTTGATAGAAAAAATGGAAAATAGATTTGCAGTTCACAGTGTCCAGATAAATCAGGAATCATTTGTCAGTGAACTTTCAAAGCCATTACTAGATGAAAGAAAATTTATAGAATGGCAAAAACAGAAAACACAACAGGTGAAAGAATCTTTCGATTACCTTCGACATAAATATTTAAGAACATTTATAAAAATGGAAGAGTCTAAGGCACCTTTGGATTATAATTGTAAAGAATCACGAAGTATTTCCGTTAAAGAAAAGAAAGAAATTGAAAAGTTTGAATTAAAATATCCATGCAAATTTCAAAATTATACTTTTGAAGAACTATCTCTGCTAGAGGAGAAAGCTCTAAAGCGTAAAAAATCGATAATTGATTCTGAATGGGCTACGGAATATATGAATAATTTGTTTGACAGAATGCGAAAAAAGTCTGATTCAGAAGATTTTCAACGACAAATGGGAAATGTTCTTGGTAGTTCCTTATGGAATGTTTGCGTCACTGAAGAGGAAGACAAAGTGGACATGGAACTTGCCAAAAAGGTAATGAAATTATCGGAATTCGAAAAGCAGATGTGTACTCAAATTATGGAAACAAAACAACAAGCGCGAAATTTAATAAAAAATAGAATACAAGGTGAAAAGGAGTTTGCTGAACAAAGAGAGCACCAACTGAATATATTTTTTGACGAACTTAAAGAAAAAATTATTTCTGGTGACTTAGAAGTTGATTTTGAAAAAATGAGACAGAATAATTTACATAATAAATTATTTGCTGAGAAAATGAAAAGAAAACGACAGATGTATCATAATATATGCTATGAAACTCTTATAGCAATAGTCGATTATGCGGTCAAATATGGCTATTTTAAAAAGTTGATAGATGGTGATGTGCCTGAACAATTTGTCCATGAATGGAAATCATTATTCTTTAAGCATCAACCTATTTTCGATATTCTTGATTCAAATGAAGACATTTTGAAAATAAAAGATACTGAAGAAATCTCTTGTCTCGAATCGTCTTCATTTGAAACAGAAGAAATATTGATAATGGAGTGCAAAAGACAAGGAGTTTTGGATAGTTGTGAATTTGAAGAATATGATCATTACCTATACCCGTGGAAATTAGATATATTGATACCAAATTACGATCCTCACTCAGAGGAGAGAAAGATTGAACATTTAGGAATGCGTGTGTTAGGACATGTAATATATACTTTACTTGAATTGAAGTATCCATATCCATCGGCAAACTTACCTGCTGAGCTACCTGAATACTCATCTAAATCTCTACTGCGTGGACTTCCAGACAAGTCCTTGACGCAGGTAATGCAATCCTTATTAACATTTCGTAAAATACACGTGATTCGATTGGAAGCCGTTATCAACTATTGCTTAAGACAATTTAAAACAGAAATGATTGGGCGAAATGACATAGATCTTTCATTTGATAATTTTCTTAATGTTGCGCAAGTAGAAGAAAATAAAGAATTCATTAAATCAATGAAATCTGAAGACGAAAGTTATTCCAAAAATGGTGTTATTACATCAGAACTGTTACTTTCATCACTACCTAATACTAAGTCAACTCAAACACCAAAATGTATACCCGACGATAACATTTCTTTGTCAGCTGTTGCAAATCTAGGCAAATATGCCTACGATGCTCTTACCCAAGGAGAAACCTTAACTGATTATTTAGTGTCAGCAATGATAGTAGAATATCTTAAAAATCAAAAAGAAATTAATGGGTTTGTTATCATAAATTATCCAAACAGTTATCATCAAGCTCAAATATTAGAAGAAAGCTTTTCTGGTTATGGGCCACCTGATGCGGAGGAATTAGATGATAATGACGTTATACATTTAGAAGAAAGTATTATTAAGCATCGTAAAAATGAAGTTGACCCTTATAAAGAACTCAGAACTTCTAAAGTTGTGAGGAATCCACATAAAAGAATGGTCGAAAAACCATTTGAAACTTATTTTACTTCTTATATTCATCTCAAACATACTGATGACATTTTGAAGGAATTAGTGATTTGGCAACTAAATCATAATAATTCGGATTTTACTGATAGATTTTATGCAAGTATGGGAATAAATTATAGTTTATACTACGAAGTAGTGGATAAAGAATTACTAGCTCAAATTTGTAAATACATTATTGGCGACTTCAGTTTTCCATTAAAATCTTATGACGAAATATTTGGTGACCATGTTTTAAGTGAACTTGACTTTCCTAAAGTTGATGGAAAACGAATCAATTCTAAAATTGTTAAACAAGATGTTGCTAATGATAAATCAAACGACAAAATACGTAGGGGCACCAAGCTAAGTAAGACGTTTAATGAAACCGAATTAGAAGTCATAAAAGCACCTCATTCATTAGAAGATGTACCTCAAAATAGCATTAAAACTTTAGACAGTATGATAGCACTCGGTATTAAAAGCAAGTCATTGCATAGCTTAAACCAAGTAAAAATTATGGCCGGTGACGAAAATTGGGTCTTTGCAGATTTACCTATTGCTGAAGCTATAGGTAAATCCTTAGCCAGTTATTGGGAGGAGGTTGAAAAATTATACGTTAATAATATGAAACAGCTGTTTTTTGCTAAGCGTTTACAAATGAATTGTGTTATACCGTACACAAGATTTTTGAAGGATAAAATTAATCAAATTGTAACACTTCCGTCCAATAAACAGGATTTAGTTAGTGAATTTCAAAAAAAATACAATGACTTTGAAAATGATTGGCGTAATATTAATGTAACTAAAAACGAATGGCATTGCCGGGTAAAGGAATTACAGAGCAAGTTATATAAAATTTGTGATGAAAGAAAAATAACAGCTCAACAACAGAGACATGCACTTATTTGTGATAATTGGGCTTTGGAAGAGTTAACTACTTTAGCCAATACATATATATCTTGTATGCAAGCGGAAATGAATAGGTACGTATATTATAACATTTAATTTAATAACCATCAATATTAAGAATAGTGTTTAACCTGTATTGTTGAGGCGTTAAAGGATGTATTGGCTTCTCTCCAACGAAACTGTGAAGTGTGGTTGGCCTTAGTATAGTTTGTATGATATGCGTTCAGCTTATGTTGTCCTGCTGATAGTTGAAAAATTCCAGAACATTTGCATTACACACACTGGGCTATTAGTACACAATTTTTTTTACATTCTAGCGACGTTACCAGTGAGTGTTGAAAGAGCTAAAACGATGAAGATATTGTACGTAGTAGAGCCATGCTGGAGTTATATTATAGTTGTACTAACGTAAAATAGCGGCTAATGTTTCTATTTCGTGTGGTGGATATAAAAAACTGGATACCCTATTTACTGGAAACGAGGCATTACATTTTAGTCCTTAGGGGTGAAAATGCATCTGCATTTTGGTTCTTAATGTCTATAGATGTCTAGAGAATAGATATAGATGTCTATGGGCCACAGCATCCACTTCTCATCATTTTATTTTTTTTATTTTTTTTTATTCAAAGTGGAACAGCTAACAACTACATTATATATAATTACATATAGATAGTACAGTAACATAATATACGCAATAATGCAGCCCACAGTGCTGTTCACAGATTACCTCTTGGGATAGATAATTAAGATGCTAGGAGACCTGCAGCTGTATAGAAGGTATTATACAAATGTCAAAGTATGGTCAACAGTGATATTATAATGTGACTAAGATAACAAAATTATTATGTGAAAAGTGTCTTGTATAAAAGACCACGAAACTTTTCCTTTGAGCATGTAAAAATGTCTATATGCTCGAAGGTCTCATTATATGTGGCAACCATACGTCGAATTGGTGAACGAATACCGGTATTGGATCGACAGGTACTTACGGCAAAGAGTTTACCCGCACGCACCCGTCGTCTATGGACAGTTTTGGGAACTACATAACATAACAGATTGTTTAACTCAAACTCAAAAATCATGTGATTATCACACTTATTTCACAAAAAGTAAAGTTTCACGCCCGTAGTCAAAGACCTCAGTAGCAACAGGTTAACATTTAAGACAGATGCATTTTCTGCCACACGTTCTAATTGACACAATACTCTCTTTTCAGATCCATTATGACCTTTCAAATATTTCATGATTTCTATTTTACTATGTTAAAAGGTTCTCCGCCTTCTGAAAGATTATCGTCTAAAGATTTAACAAAAATATTTCGGGAAACCGATAAATCATCTTCTTCTACAAAGAAAGGAGGAGATGAAAAGTTATATAAACAGTTAAAAACGGTTTTTCAAGATCTTTATGTAAAGGGTATGGAATTTGATTACAGCAACAATCCTTTTAATTTATTAATTGAAAATAATGTCAAGTTTGCTTCAAAAATAATTAAGGATATGAACGAATCTTACCGATCACTTATTAGTAAAGAATATAACGAAAAAGCTAAAACAGTACCAATAATTAAGAAGAGAGATGTAAACGTTTCCGTAGAGTCGAGTAATCTTGAAGAAATTCTAAGAAGGAATACTGTAAAATGTCTCGAAGAGTGGTCTATGGGTGTCAATGGTGAAATGTTCCGTTTCAATTTACGTATTTTGGCCCTACAGTATAAATGCTACAAAGATATGAAATTATTTAATGACCTTATACTAAAGACATTTATCGAAATTCAAAACGAAATTAATGCTTATTACATGAATGAAATTATATCAGTAGATAGATTGTGTAAATATTTACACATGACAATAGAAATAGGAACAGGAATACCTGAAACTTTAATACTCAAGGATGATAAATTTGAAATAGATCCAAACGTTTGCCAATTTTCCCCATCTTCCCAAAACTTAGATATAGAAAACAAATGTGAATCTATCGGATACTATAAATTTAAAATATACCAATTGGCTCGCTTGCGTTCACAATTTAAAATTGTGGCTCCAACGGGAATTATCCTCCACCAAGCTTTTATTTACCTATTGCAAGATTTCATTATATTTGGAAAAGAAAATCTGGAAGGTCCATTACTTCCTGAGGCATGGAAAAATGTGGATCCCGAAGAAGTTCCAAAATTAGTGCTTTTATTATTTGGGGAAACAGCTTATGTAGATTGGAGGGATTTTCTTATTTATTGTCTTCATATCCGATTTCCGTCAATTAACGAGTTATTACAACTTAGAAAAAAATTTCGTTGTAATGATAAGGATTCTAAAGAAATTACAACACGAGATTTTTTTGTAAATGAAAAACTTTGGTTTGAAAATGATTTCATAATTGGAGAAAAACGGGATCAACTGCAGCTAAACTTAATAAAGCACTTTTTATTTGAACTTTATGAAACTGCAGAAAATTTCATTAATTACTCAGCATTTTTATTGGCGTTTTGTAAAAATTCTGATCCAATCAAAGGTTTTGTTGCAGCTGTATCTATGGCAGTAGGACAAGAAATATGTTTTTTACAAGAAGAGTGTGGTGAAGTTGTTACTGGTTTAATAAAAGTGAAAAAATACAAAGATGAAAGTTTAGCATGTGCTTTAAAGTGCGTTGCGCAATTTTTAAGCAACCTTGTTCAGAATGTTGTTGATACTTGTGAAAGAGTGAAGATAGAAGAGTTAAAATATATAGAAAATTTAACGAATAATAAGAAAGGTAAAAAAGGGAAAAATATTGGCATACCAAAAAAAACAGAGGTTCATCAAAATGAACGTGTGGATAATTCACAAAAGGTGCTAAAATCTCGCTCTAAATTACGAATTTCTATGGATACAAACGGGTCAAAGACAACACTTGTTTGTCCACCGTGTGAACAATTTGATTTAGTAAATGAAACAGATATGGAAAGAGAAAAAAATTTTGTTGAGCCTGAAATTATAGTCCCAAACCCGAATTTAATATATGCGGTTAATAAGTCTTTAATTTGGAAGGTTTTAAAAATTTGCCTGCCTTGGCATTTTCAGCTTTTACCTGAAACAAATGAATCTCCATATGTTCAGCAAGTTGAAGAAGTATTAAGACGCTTAGAATTGGATACGGATAACAAAGACATATATATTTGTAAATTAGTCTCTGATCCCAAATTTGTTAAGTTGTTGCATAAAGTTAAAAAATTTACTGCTATAAATTTGGCCGATGTGATCCAAAAAATATTTTAATGGAAATAAGTTTTGTTTGCATGGATTCCAAAAAATATGAGAATGCTGTTCAAGTTGAGTTTCATAAATCTATTTAAACATAAAATAAAAAAATATCTTCGTTATTTACAATATTCAAAACGTTTGAGTACGAAATCTTCTTCCTGTCACTATTGAAAGACATGAATCTGCGCTAAAGATATTATAGTACCATGAGTATACGTACTTACATATACATTCATTTGGCCTAACGTATCCAATGCACAACGGCCTACCTCCGATCTTTTTGTAGATTATGCAAAAAGATCGGAAGGAGTCTAGGATGTACTCACGGGGCCAGCTACAACATTACTAGACACGAAAGCCGGAACATATAAATGACTATAGGTTCTTTACCTTATTGAGAACTTTAAATACAAGTTGTAGGAATACTGCTTAAAAAATATGATATTGTTATTGAAATATACTTTAGAATTGTTTTCTCTGTGTTCGTATTTCGTATCTTCCTCTTAGGTATAATTTTTAATAGACTGTGGAATCAAGTAACTGACAATACCGTTTTTGCTATTACTAGTATTTACAGAATACATATTGCCACTTTCTTATTAAAACTACTCATGTAATCGTGTACTTAAAATAAACTTTCGTAAATGTAAGAGAATTGTATTTATTTCCTTTTTTATTATGAATATTTTTTTATTATGAGAGATTTTTTTAATAAGAGACACAAAGTAAAGTTAATGGTGAAATGTCATAGCTCCTAGCAAAAGTTCTTCTCTTCTCCTTCTCCTGATTCTCAGGAGTGACTAGGTATTGTCAAGCCAATAAGCCACTTTATCCACTTATCGTCAGGTGAAATCTGTGCTCTTTGTAACCCTTGTAGCATTTTATGTAGCTGGACTGAGCGCGTCAGCTAATGTAGATATTTAAAGTACAGTTACTAAAGTAAACTATTGTTCACATGATTTTTTATTTATTTCATATAAAGTTGAAAGATCACCTTTCTTATTCTTTTATATTAATAATGAAATATTAATGAAATTAAACCTAATAAATATCCTAATATAATATCTATATGTCCATACTAATCGGCATGGCAAGTGTGTTTGTTTGTTTGTTTGTTTGTCCTTCTTTCACTTCGCAACAGAGCGTCGGCATGGTATGAATTTTGGTATGGGGATAGTTCGGTGGCTGTAGAGTAACATAGGCTACTTCTTTCCGCGGAAAAACATATCATTCCCGTGGGAAAATCGAATATGTTGCAAAATTAAATTCAGCTAGGTAGCGCCACCGTGATTCTACAAGACGGACGACGGTACGATGGACGAACACAGAAGGTCAGAATATCTGGATTATTATGTCTTTTTACCAAAATTAAGATAAAAAATGTATGGATCTGTATTTTTCCACGCAGGACCGGGAAGAGAGCGATAAAAAATATAAAATTCACCACCTAATTTTCTTCAAACGTTTTGGTGCATTATAATTCACAGAATAGGCGATAACCTCACAGACGACATTAAGTAAACCGTTGATGCTCTGCCTACCCCGCAAGGGTTACAGGCGTGATTATAAGTATGGATCAGAAATACTACCACCTGTCACGCTTTCACCCTTAACTATTATTTAACTATGGTAGAAACAGTTCTTAGTAAGCCATATTAATAAGCCTTAGTAATATTTATTGAACGGAAATGAATACTGTTCTTATATGTGATTATGAATGAATCAGTATTACAATAAGAAAAGTTGTGCAAAATTATAAGAAAAATATTTTTTGAGAGTTCTTATTAACTAACGTATACATAGTTTAAATTGATTCCGCTAGATGTCGTTACTAGGTTTTTAAAGCGCGGTAACGAAATGTTTCCTCACATGTATTTAACTCCCGCCGTTGAGCCGCGCGTCAACTTATAAGTGTATACGGTACCTATACGCTTAAATTGTTTCTATTTCGTAGCTTATTCGACTACCTGCTTTCGATTTCGGTTGTTTGTTATTTGATTTGTGATTTGGTTAAGGTTGAATGGATTTATATTGGCTTTCATTTTCGGATTTTTGTATTTTCTAGGATCGGTTTTGTTGATTTGGTTGGTATTCCTTTATACATATTTAGACTCTGGCTTTGATTTTGGATTTTGTTAATTTAGAATAGTAAATTGGTTTTTGTTGTTTTAAGTTGTTTAGCAATATTTCAAAAGAATATTAATAGTAAAGATAGTGTATACGGTACCTATACACTTACTTCTTTTTTCGTTGGTTATATTTATATTGACTACTGCTTTCGATTTCGGTTTTCCGCGATTTGTTTTGTGATTTGGTTTAAGTTGATTCGATTTTTTTTGGCTATCGTTTTCGGATTCGTGTTGTCTTGAATTGGTTTTGTTATTTTGATTTTAAAAAATATTTAAAAGGAATATTTATTCCTTTTAGATATTTTGGATTTGCTTTTAAAAAAATATTTAAAAGTAAATTTAATTCCTTTTAGGTATTTTAACGTTTTTTTATAAATAGGTTTTTTGTTACTTCATAATGCCTCGCAAACGTAAGTCCAGCCTTTCAAGAGTATCTTCTCAAAGACAAGCGAAAAGATTAGCTCGATCGCTAGAATCTTTAGAAGATGCTGAACTGAGAAGGCAAGAACAAGCAGAGCGTCAGGCTGCTTTTAGAGCATCTGAGACACCTTCTCAACGTCAGCAAAGGCGTCTTGAACAGACAGAGCGTCAGACTGCTTTAAGAGCTTCCGAAACACCTTCTCAAAGTCAGGAAAGGCGTTTTGAACAGGCAGAGCGTCAAGCTACTTTAAGAGCTTCTGAAACACCTTCTCAAAGTCAGCGAAGGCGTCTTGAATAGGCAGAGCGTCAAGCTACTTTAAGAGCTACTGAAACACCTGATCAAAGTCAGCAAAGGCGTCTTGAATAGGCAGAGCGTCAATCTACTTTAAGAGCTACTGAAACACCTGCTCAAAGTCAGCAAAGGCTATTCGAACAAGCGGAACGTCAGGCCGCCTTAAGAGCCGCGGAAATACCTGATGAAACTCAACACAGACTCATTAAACAAGCTGAACGTCAATCTACTATAAGGGCATCTGAAACACCAGGACAGACACAGGCGCGAAGAGATGCAAATGCACAGCTCCAAGCTGAATGTCGACAAAATTTTCAAAGAAACAATTGGTCGGTTTTTAATGACGCAGCATTCAATTATGATCCGTTGATTTAATTTAAGATATTCGTTTTCTGTCTGTGTCTATTAAAATGCAATTGTAAACCTTAATGAGTGCAGTTTCGCCAATAAACTGTATTCTCAGTTTGGCGAACTTAATGTTTTTTGAACCAATTGTATTTACTATGTTAATAAATAAATAAAAAAAAAAATAAAAAATTATAAAAATCACAGGTTAGTTGTTATCGGACTGATAGACAAGGCGTGTCGATTTTGCAGCGCTTTAAAATGGAAAGATGAGACCGCAGGCATGTGCTGTTACAATGGCAAAGTGTCTCTTTCGTTACTTGGGGAACCAGAAGAACGTTTGAAAACTCTCTTTTTATATGATGCTAATAAGTCACGGTGCTTTTTAAACAGGATCCGGAAATATAACTCATGCTTTCAAATGACGTCTTTCGGAGTTGACCGGGAAATAATAATGCCGGGATTTTCGCCTACATTTACGGCGCAAGGGCAAATTTATCATAGAATAGGTTCACTTTTTCCAGCTGAAAACGAACAGCATACATTTTTACAAGTATATTTTATGGGTGCCAATTTATCCAGGGAGTTGAGAGTGACACAGTGTCAAAATTCAAAGATTCTTGCATGAACGTAACATTTTAGTCAAAACATTTAAAACTGCTTTAGAAAATTTACCTGAAGAGGATTATAAAGTCGTCATTCACGCAGATCGGGCCCCTCGAGGAGAGCATGAAAGGCGCTACAATGCACCTTTGATAAATGAAATAGCAGCCGTAATTAGTGGTGATCAATTTTCTTCACGAGACATTGTCTTGCGAGCACGTGATGATACGTTGCAACGGGTTGCCGATACACACAAGTTTTATGATGCTCTGCAATACCCATTGATTTATTGCAAAAAACAAGAGGGTTATCATTTTCAAATTCCACTCATTAACCCGGTCACAAAGGAGCCTATTCAGAACAAAAAAGTATCATGTATGGATTTTTATGCCTATCATATGATGTTGCGAGAAAATGATTTTAACCTCTCAGCCTGGTGTAGACAATTATTTCACCAATTTTTGGTAGACATGTATATGAAGGTAGAAAGTGAACGTCTCCGTTATATATCTTTAAATCAATAACATCTGCGCGTTGAGAATTATATACATTTGCAAGATGCAGTTTCTAGCGACACGAATGTAAACCCCAGATATTTAGGTAAAATGGTAATTCTGCCCTCATCATTCGTTAACAGTCTCCGCTACCTACATGAGTACACACAAGACGCATTCGACTATGTACGAACTTACGGAAGACCTGATCTTTTTGTTACTTTTACTTGCAATCCCACATGGAAAGAAATAACCGAAGAGCTAATGCCGGACCAAAAAAGTACTGACAGACACGATTAAGTTGCTAGAGTATTTAGATTAAAAGTACAAAAATTAATGTATGTAATTAACAAAGGGAAAATTTTCGGTGAGATGCAGTGCTTCATGTATTCAATTGAATGGCAAAAAAAGAGGATTACTGCATGCCCACATTCTAATATGGCTTAAAGAGAAGTTGCGGCCCAGCCAAATAGACGACATAGTAAGCGCCGAGATTCCGGGTCCTGAGCAAGATAAAGAATTGTATGATACCTTCGTCCGAAATATGATTCACGGTCCATGTAGAGCACGAAATTCAATATTGCCATGTATGAAAGAAAGAAAATATACAAAGAAATTCCCTAAACAGCTATTAAAAGAAACAGTGCACAATGACTATGGTTACCCTTTATACAGACAGAGCTCCCGAAGATGGTGGCAAGAAAGTTACAATCAAATCTCGCTCTGCGTTCG